GAATAATGAAAATCATACAGAAAAGAGAAGGTTTAACTTCATTTCTTTTGTAACAATATTTGCCTACAAATGGGCATTTTCAGTTGATTTTGCTAACCACAGTTTGCCTTTTTGCATCCTGAGTGTAACCAAGCTAATCAGCCTGACACTTACCATCAGCCAAATTAACTCATCTTCACAATTTCTAAATGCATGTTAACCAAAATGTTTCACCTAAATCCAACAAGCATTTAGATCTATCTTCCGACTTGAAGTAAATACAGCCACAATTCAATGCACAAGAAGAGAAACAAAAAATCCAGAATTTGGGACATTCTGTAGGACTGATAACTGATCTCCTTGTGAAACTATTGAAGTCCTGATTAAAACTAGTGTCATGAAAAGATCTTTCAATGCTAGATTAAAAGAGATTCAAGGTACATAGCAACGAATGCTATGCATGGTCCTGCACTGGATCCTGATTTGGATAATTGTGGGGGCATTTTGAGGAGAACTGGAGAAACCAGAAAGCAGAATATATGACAGGATAAACTGGGGAGGGGAGGGCCAAAAGCAAGGTAGACTAGGGGTGTTTGAGTGGTGGGTGTGGTTATGGTAACAACACCTGAGGGGTGTTGTTATACAATGTAAACAAATATTATAGCAAAAATAAATAATAATGATAAAAGTAATTTTATTTATTTAATTTTTATATAATTTATATATATTTTACATCATTGTTCATTTTTGTACAATATTTGCTTTCTCCTCTCAGGTGTAGTCCCTATAGAATTCCCACCACCAAGTCACCTGTGCACCATCGCTACCTCTTGTGCTCCTCCCTCCCCTGTTTTGATCCCTCTCCTTTTCCTCCCCTGCAGAGTGTCTCTGATTTATAGTTACCTGTTAATTTTTTAAAATTTATTGTTATTATTTTTTTCCCTGATCCCTTATTGGGTTCCCCTATATTCCTCCTAGAAGTGAAACCATCAATATTTTTCTTTTGATAAAATCGTAAAAGGTCACAATGGAATTCCCAGACATTACCTCCCACATTGTCAGATTCCAACAGATAAAAAAAATTTGGAGCAGTGAAAAAAAAAAGAATAAACCTTTATTGGCACAAAGGGTATGTAGTATTGATACCATAATTGGAGGTTTTCCAGCCTAGTCTCCCAGCCAGGAACGGATCCCAGGCTGCAGCTGCAGCAGCACTGAGTTGCAGCCACTAGACCCCCACGTTTGGTGTCTCACAAAGCCGCAGCAGGAACTTCGCTGACGCTCAGGCAAGCAAGCGAGAAGAGGGAGATTTGTTTAGAGAAAGAAAAAGTTCATTAAGGAGAAAAGGATCCAAAATAAAGTGGGACTGCCAGGCCTAAAAGTAGAGTGGTGCCTCAGGGAATATATATCTTCTTTCCCTGGTTATTCTAAAGCTCCACCAGTCTCTTTGTGATTGGTTAGTTCTTGGTGGTCTCACTCATTCTGTCTTAATGTCTCTGTGCCCAGAACTAAATCTCTTATCTTAGCATCCTTTCCTTTATTGCCCTTGTCCAGGGGTGTTTGATTAACCCCCTTTGGAAGCTGTTGCCCTTATCTCTGGAGCTTCCCTTATTCCGTTTGTTGCCCTTATCTCAGAAGCCTCTAACTCTGCCCAAGCCCCTGCCTGCACTGTCCCAGAAGCTGTCTAATTAACCCTAACTTGCCCCGGGACACAGTATTGTAATATTAACTTTACAATGTTACAGCTAGCAAATTAATATATAACTTATTAGATAAAAGTGCACACACGCAAGCATCTGGAAGGCTACAGAATAAGGAATTAAAAGCACTCATTTCTCAAAGGTCAGTATACAACTTTTTTTTTTTTTTTTTTTTTTAGAAACTATGCCTTTTTTTTTTTTTTTAATGATTTATTTATTTATTATTTATTTATACAAGCACTGGGTACAGTCAGACGCATGGGAGGGTGAGAGAATTCACCAGAGCGGGGACCAGAGCAGGCAGAAGGACCGAAGGACACTGCTGAGGGGAGCAGCGGGCGGCAGGAGAGGTCTGCGCGCCATGTGGGACCCTCCTCCGGTGGCCGGGGAGCAGCTGGGGATCGAACCAGCTCTGCAGAGGCTGCAGGCAGCTTCGCAACCCAGCGCTCAACCGCTGCGCCACCGGGGAGGCCCAGTATACAACTTTTTAAAAAAATCTGTATGTTTTCTAAGATGTACACATGTTGATTTAGTAATAATAACAGGTTATTTTTCACTTCATAAAGTCCTGCTTCTACAACAAGGCATAATGAAGTCAGGTAAAATGTCACGGGGGTGCACAAGCAGACGTGACCAACGAAACTGGGCCTTCCTGGTGCCACTGATGTGCACTGTCATCCAGCCCAGGTATTATGTGTGGGGCGCACGCGCGCACACACACACACACGTGCACAAACTCTCTGGGGTTAAATCCGGGAGAGAAGAAACATTTAAAAATAATGTGGTTAATTCTATCCTGGGAGCACACGTACCTGCTGCTGGGATCCTCAACATGAGGCCCACAAACCAACGCCTAAGAGATTCACAGACCCTGAGATCAGTTTCTAAGTTTGTGGCAGAGACGCAAGGGAAGGTTAAGAACTGCTGTCCTAAAATGCCCGCTATGCTGCTTTTAATAGCAGGCTTTTGAAAAATCTCTTTGACTTCAGAAAGATCTAGACAGAGGAATAAGGTGGTTAAGCCCCTTGGAGTGAGCCCTCCCTGCTCCTGCGTTATGTTTTCACCAGCCCCAGTTCCCAGCGGCACCAGGAGGAGGGTAGAATATAGAAGGATCAGAAGTTTCCAGCTGCCCAGAGCCCCCGGACACTGCTACCATCTGGGCTACATGGGGGCAACCGGGCTTCAGATCCCCTCCCCAAAACATACAGGCTTCTCCCCCCTGCCTAATCTCAGTCCTCAAAGAATAAAAGTGAACCAGAGAGCCCTGACTTGATGAGATACACTAACTACCCAGAGAGCTAGATGCCAGGCAATTGGGAAAGTGCATGAAAGGAACAAGCAAACACAGGGGTGAGTGAGGGAATGGACTCTTGCCCGTGTTTCAAAGTATCACTTCAGAGGGTTAATTTCTGAATAGCAGACTGCGACCTCCGAAATGCCAGGAATTCAATAAATAAACTACAGAAGTCAGTGAGCCCCACATGTCTCTTATTAAAAATGGACTCCCGGGGACCTTGATCAATAGACTAGATAGCAAGCAGGAGAGGAAGTCTGGGCTGCTGTCTGTACTGAGCAGTTGTCTTATTAAAAACAACTTTGGTCAGACTCTCAGAAACAGTAAGGCCTTTAAAGGCACAAAAAAGTCACAGGGGGTTGAACTTCCATCCACACCACAAGTCAGGTTTAAAGACCTCTCCCTTTCTTTCTTTCTTTCATTGTTCTTTTTTTTTTTTTTTTAAGATTTATTTATTTATGCATACAAGAACTGGGGTTTAGGCCAGAGGTGTGGGGGGGGGGTGAGAGAATTCCCCAGGGACAGAGTGGGGAGCAGAACAGGAGGATTGCCTTTCTTAGAGGCAAATGTTTGCATCTGAGCACGGGTGGCAAGGAGCCTCTCTCAGCAGGACAGGTTGGGTGGCATACCTGGAAAGGGCAGGCTGTATGTGTCACCAGGTGGGTCCTTCTCCAATAGAGCCTGGGTTAGGGGAGGGTGAAGTTGGGACAGGAAGCTGGGCACGGACTAGAGCGCGCCACCCACGCTACTGCAAACTCACAAGTGCTGTAACAAGCCAGCAAGTGGGACTTACTGGAATATGCATTTACTTCTACATTCCTTAAAGTTAAGTGTAACCTATAGGGTATTATGCCTATTCCTATGTAAATTTTCTTCACCAACGATTGGGAACTCCCTTTTCCTTCTACTTGATGGCCCAGTTGTGTGGAGTTCTGGTGACCAGGGCATAGTGCAGTTGTTATCTTAAAATACCACGAGGAAGGGAGGTAAGAAATAGAATTGAGGGTCTTCAAATGCCTAGTGATGTGCCTAGGAAGGAGGGAATGGTAAAAAGGTATTTTGCAAAAAAAAGAAAAAAAAAACAAGCCTACTCCTCCTCCCCCCCACAAAAAAAACCCACACAAGCAAGCAAGCAAGCAAGCAAGCAAGCAAAGACCTGTAACAAGGGGCCTCCCTGGTGGTGCAAGGGGTTAAGATGCAACCTATGAAGCTTACTGCAGCTGCTGCAGCACGAGTTGGATCCCCAACCAGGGAGTTGCCCACATGGCACAGCAGACCTCTCCTGTCTCGCCTGCTGCTCTCCTCAGCAGTGTATTTCAATAGATCTGCCTGTTCTGTTCCCCACTCTGTCTCTGGTGAATCCTCTCACCCCCCACACCTCTGGCCTGTACCCCGGTTCTTGTATGCATAAATAAATAAATCTTTAAAACAAAAAACAAAGACCTGGAACAAAACAAAACCAGAATTTATTCCTGCTAGATTGGGAAAGCGGCAAGACATGACTACAGAACAGAATAGTGTTTGTGTGTGGAGGCCATGACAGAACCCTCAGAGTGACAGTTTAAGTTTAAGCATTGACTTTGCGATTAAAAGTGACAAAAGCATTTTTTAAAAAAAGTTATTAGGCATTTGGATAGTTATTAGGCATCTTGGATCTTCTGATTGTTTTGGCTTCAAATATAATACAGTTCCTTTGCTGGGGCCCCGGGGTGCTGACCTGGGACGGCACACAGACCCAGGAAGGAAGGCGTGCAGGGACTTGACAGTTCAGAGCGGCGCTGTGGGTCTTCCTGCCCCACAGACAAAACAAGCTCGAGTTGCCGTGACAGGGCCCCAGGTAAATAGCCAAATGGTGCTTTAGTTGCTGACCTACTTCTTTAAGTTCCCTCTGAAGACTTCACAGGTGGACCTTTCCAGATTCTTTGTTAAAAATCATGTGCTGCTTTCTGAACATTTACACAGAAGCTCAAAAAGACTTGAGGGGAAGTTTCTCTGTCGCATTTCAGATATTCAGGTCACATACATACCTCATCTCCATGCATATTTGCCACGTACTTGAACTCCGGAATCCCAATTCTGTGTTCTTTTGGAAACCGCCCCACGACAAGAACCCAGAGGTTTCTGCCTTTACAAAGAAAGAAAAAGATAAAAAGAAATAAGTTGTCTTTTAAAATGACAAATGAACTATAGGAAAATGAAAATTGAAAACAACGTAGTTTCTCCTTCCTAAATACTTGGAGGTTTCATAGCGACTGATACTCAGATCACTAACACCTCCTTAAAATGCTTAGTTTATAGCCAGTCAAACCATTTCAATTTAGCCCAGATATTTAAACTCATGTTTTTATGTGATTTCCTCAAAGTTGAAGACTAGTTACTAAGGAAGGTAGTTCTCATTTTTCCAAATTAGTTATATATTTTGCTCCGATTCCTAGTGCTTTATAGGAACAATCTTGCTAATTCACACAATAATGCAAACTTCAAATATAGGTGATGGTTGCCGAGGAGAGCCTTTAACTCACAGTGCAAGGAAAGGGGGGAAATAAAAGCAGCAACAAGGAAACATGTAACAACGAGGGAGATGGCTTTAAATTAATAGGTCCTAAATCTTATATTCAAACGCTAACATAACAGCCCCTGGCTATGCTGGATGTGGGTGAGTCATGTCCAGTAAACTGGGGACACCATCCATCCTACCAACGCCTCAGGAAAAATCTCTAAGTTCTAGTGTGGCCATAGATGGGTGGAGACTAAAGATCAACGAGGATTTGCTCTGTGTAGAGGATACAGTTGGTCTCTGGCTCACAATCTCTCAGGTAGTCCCCTTGTCAGACACACTAAGATGGAGATTTAATGAAACTTGACAGATGAGAAAATGAATCTTTAGAAAATATTAAGTAGGGCCTCCCCGGTGGCGCAGCAGTTGAGTGCTGGGTTGCGAAGCTGCCCGCAGCCTCTACAGCACCGGTTCGATCCCCGGCCGCCACTGGGCGAGGGTCCCACATGGCGCACAGACCTCTCCTGCCGCCCGCTGCTCCCCTCAGCAGTGTACTTCGGTCCTTCTGCCTGCTCTGCTCCCCGCTCTGGCTCTGGTGAATTCTCTCACCCTCCCGCACATCTGACTGTACCCAGTGCATGTATAAATAAATAAATAAATCTTAAAAAAAAAAGAAAATATTAAGTAATCTGCTTATGACCACAGACAGCCAATAAGAGGCTATGATTTGAACTGCAGAACTGAGATTTGAATCCTGGCCTATTTGACCTCAAGTCCAGTATCCTGATCACTAACAAGACTGCCCCTTCTTCAAGAGGCTTGGCTTCCTAAGCAATTAAATGAAGGGATACCTTTCAACTTTAAAATAATCTCTTTTAATAAAACACTATAAAACTAGAGATTGGGATATTTATATTTGATATTATATATACACAAAGTTCAAATATCTATGATATCTAAACCTCACACAGTATTCAAGAGCCCACAAAAGGAATTAATGGGTTGATGTTGAGCTGGCTTCTGAAGGATTTCACCTCTAGGTCCTTAAATCAGGGGTCCCACAGGCTGAGGAACACTCAGTTGTCATGAAGAAAGCAAAGTGAAACTGATACTTGATTTGCATTTTACCATTTATTCCTACTTTATTACGACAGTACTTGAGGGAAATTTGTCATGCTAAGGTGACATGTTATGTTAAATTTAGTTACTGAATTCTTAGAAAAGACCCAGAAAATGCAGCTGATCAAATCAGTGCTACCTGTTCAGGGCAAAATCCTCACTCCTTCACTTACATGTCCATTAATTAATTAATTAACCAATTAATTTATTGTTTGTCAAATGATCCTTTTCTGAAACATTTCCTTTTTAGCTATTAACTAGCTAAACATTCCACCCCACCACTATTGAGGTCATCTATGAAGTTGGGAGGGTAGAAGCCACCTGTCAACATTGCAGCCCACTGATGGCCCCAGGCTCTCTTTAATGGTGCCGGAGAGCTCTCTAGTTCACTATTGGTGAACTATGTGGGGCTATGTTGACAGTCTCATCAAAGAGGCAGTTCCACTGTACTTGATGTTTTTCTGCTTCTTTCTGACTCTTGGCAGGTCCCTGAAGGTTGTAAGGGCAGAGGCCAAAGGTATCACCTGGATCTGGGCTCGTTTGTTCTGAATGGTCATTTTCATTGCCTCCTCAGACTGTTCCAATCACCAGTTGCCTTGGTGATATCATCACTAACTTTTTTTGGGAGACAGACCCAGGTTGTCAATCTTGTGGGTCAGGGCAGACTTGGTACTGACTTCCCCATGGCTTCCTCTCTTTGATTTCACTGGGGTTGAACTTAGATGGTGCAGTGGAGGCAGCTGGTGTCAGATGAGCCCTGATTTGGGACAACTGAAGAAAGAGTCACCTTTTTCACCTCTGAGCCAACAGCCAAAAAACACACCCATTTATTTAGTATGACTACATAAGGGCATTTAACCAGGTGATCAGATTACATAGAAGTGTCACATCTCCTATGTCCAGGGAGTTGCTGATTTACTGGAGAACAGCAACATGCAAATATAATTACACGAGAGTGTGACCTCTGGTCACAGAAATGTGTGTAAGTCACTGTTGTAGGTACAGACTAAGAAGAGATGGTTAACTTTTTCCAAGGAGGAGATCATGAAAGCTTTACAGATGTAGGTATTTATAACTTACTTTTGAATAGAGTTCTAAAGATGATTGAAGTTACCATGTGGACAAGCACAATTCATCCAGTGATCTCCCACCAGAATCACCTAATTAGAATCTTCCATTCCCAATTCTCAGGTTATTTGGAGCTTCAGTTCTTCAAAGCTCACATTTTCTGAAGCAAGTGAGGTTAGTCTATCCAAAAGGTTCAGATAGATTTTGCTCAATAAGCCCAGAGTAGGCCTCTTGTTCCCTGGGTATAGGAACTAGGGATCAATCAGAGTTCTTTGAGCCTTGGGAGGTCTATTACCATTACTTAAAGACTGCAGATTGTTTTGCTTTGAGAGTAGTGAGGGTGCTGAAGCACAGGGTAAGCTTCTGTTCTTGCCTAAGTCTTTTATTCCTACGTAATTGAAGAAGATCCTTATGCCCTAATTGAAATAATCACTGCTCTCCTTTTCATGACTTAGAATAGTTGGGAGTCTCGCCCAGTTCTAGGTATATCAGCAAACATGTTGTAGGGTAAGTGAAAAGTATCAGGCTTTTCTGCCCTCCAGCCATTAGCATTAATGATGTATCCCTGGGATCCTAGATGCATGCCTCACGGCGGACACATGGAGTAGGGTGTGGGCATGCATAGGTGGGCGCACCTGGGCTGAGACTGGGCTTATATGGGCGGCCTCATGGGGACGCCAGTGGAACCAGCAGAAAGAGTAGAAGAGAAAAAGTGCAGAGAGAATGAGAGTAGCAGCAGAGGAGAATAGGAATGCCAGAGAGCCCAGAAAGAGTGAAGACTCGCTGTGGGCTGGGAGGCCTGCCAGCCTCCCGGCCCCCTGATACCCCTGCCTGCCATGTACCTGCTAAAAGCTCAATAAAAGCCTGAAAAGCCACTGAGGGCTCCAGGACTCTACCTGTCTGCTTGGATCATAGAGATCTTGATCTGTGCCCTTCCTGCCGCTACACATGTCTTCTCCGAGACTCTCATCTCTACTTTCAGAGTAAGGATGAGGTCACCTCCTCCTTACCAGTCATGTGAAGTCTCCCCTTCTCTGTCCTTGAAACCCCAGGTCTCAAAACAAAGACAAATACTTCTGGTTTCTCCATTTGTCTTTAGAATGAACAATCAAATTCTCCATACATATGTTATAATATGTTTCTCCTTTGCTAACCAGTCAAATTGATTAGTCATGTAGTCCGAGAATAACCCAGAGGGGTATGGGATGATTTCTTTTGTGCCCTGACACAAAGAACTTTTACTGAGTTATTAAGCCTGGTTCTTTTGCAACTGGGGCTCCCTCAGAACAAACAGTGGGCAAATCGGTGTCCTGCCCCAGAAAGCTTCATGCGGGCAGTACAAGTGGCAGTAGGTTGTGGGCATTTTACTGCCACCCACCAGGGCTCAGGCAACAGGCAGAGGCTACCAATGATGGCAGATAGCAGTGGTTTCCCTACCAGCCACCTCAGGGCATGCAGGCCCTGGCTCAGGGCTGCAGGGAGGAGCACCGGACCCCACTGGGCCAGCTCCAGCGCTGTGGCTTCCTCCAGCTGCAGGCAGTAGAGAGGCCCGTGGATTTGGTGCCTGGATCCTAGAATGGACTGATCAGGTGTGAGCTGTAAGCTGGTTAGTAAATTGTCCAATCAGTGATAGGATTGAAAATGGTCCAGTCAGACCTGTGGGGTAGGGGCAGAGTAGGGGTTTTGGGGGGAGGGAGGAAATCCCTGAAAGAAGATATAAGGCAGGGCAGGGACCAGTTAGATGCTCTGACTGGCATACTCAGGCTCACTCTGTTCCTGAGCTGGACTCTGTTCCTGAGTTCTGAAGAAAAAGAAGCATCCAGCAGTTGACCTCTGAAGAAAGAAGAGAAGCCAAAAAACTTTGCAGAGGCCAGGCTGCCACACCTGCCTCTGGCTTGCCTCTGACACTGCTTGAAAGGCCCTGGGCCTGGTGTCTCAGAGAGTTGTTGGTGTGGGCCAACAACTCATGGAGAGCTGTTAACACGGCGTTTCTGACACTACCACGTCCTGGTGACCAGAGCTGTCCAGCACTGCTGATGAGTGACCCACACTCTGTCTGGGTCACTTCCAAGAGCTGTTAATTGTCTGGCAGTGCCTCTCAGTGCTGCTGCCTCCATTGCTGTCCAGTCCAGCATCCGGTGCTGTCCATCCTGACTTCAGACTATTGCTGTGGACTGCCGTGGCATCATCTCAGTGGCTCCGCCTGTGAGCACATCCAGCTGCGGTGAGTTGGCTCCTGGCCTGCAGGCCACAAGCATTTTGTTTAGGACTTCTGGTCACTATGGACCCTACGTGGGATGAGCTAGCCCGGCACTTGTGGCCTTGGGAACTCTCTGTTTCCCCGTTTGTTAAATAAACTGCATTGTTGTTCCCTGAGCCTGAGTGGTCTTGCAATTGTGCGTGGGTGAAGAACCACAGTGACCTGTTCTCTATCTGGCCAT